GAAAGGAAGGTGGTGAACTTGAGCTCTTGTATAGATATGAAAACTAGTTACAGAATTCGAATGCTTTTAGTCTCCTTGAACACATCTGAAGCACCCGCAGCAAGCTGTTAACCTACAGTAAACTAAGGGAAGTTTCTGGATTCTGGCCAACCTCCTCCCCACACATAACACCATGAACAGAAATTAATTACCTCTGCTTTCACATACTTCCCTTTCCTCCTCCTTGTGAGGACCTGCAAGAGAAGGACAGAGTAATTTTGAAGTTCTCTTTAAGTCTTGACTTACATCTACCTTCATCTGGTTAAGACTTTAAAACTCCAAACCTGAAGCTGTCCCTTCCCCATCCTTCCAAAGGAAGGTTTGCAAGAGGCTATCGCTTTCAACTACTTTAAACCAGGAGGCAAGAGAAGTACTTTCCTCACCTCAATTAGTTTTCCCTATTACTTTCATTTTCCACCCTTCAGTCATGACCTGAAACAGTGATGCTGTGCCCATCACCTCTTTCCCACCTCCCAAGTCTCAAAAGAGAAACCAGTTTACAGGGAAAACTGTTTCCATTAGTGTCCAATTACCCTGGACATATTATTTCCTGAATTAGTTACCCGTTCTGCTTGGCAGTTTTGTTAGAACTTACCAGAACAACAATTGAAGCAACTACTGCTATTACTATGACTACAATGACCGCAATGAGGCCAGGAGTCAGAGACTTCATGGAAAACTCTGGTGCTATTTCATCAACGTAGTAGACCACTGTCTTCTCAAGCTTCAACATTTCGTTATCAATGGTGATGTTGAGTATGTTATTATGAAAGATGGAGTCACCTTTTACCTAAGAACAGATAGGAAAGATCTAAGCATTGCAATAATTCATCTTGCTTTGGCAAGTATACAGTAAGGCTACTCAATGCAATATACACATCTAAGTCTTTGGCAGACTTCACCCATGACAAACTTACATCCTTCTCAAAGTAGTAGGCCACATCAGCTATATCCACATCTCCAGAAGATTTTTCTGAGGAGTTTTGCTTCAAATCAATAGTAATGTAAGGTTTCTCATACTGCAAAAAAATATAGTATGGTGTTAAGAAAGGGCCAATTTAAATCCAGTTATCAAATACACAGCTACGTATTCTATTCCAACTAGTGAACTCTCGTTCTGAATCAGATTTATGATACTGTTTAAGCCAACAGTTTACAGTAGGATTCAGATTTTAGTGAAGCAAGAATTTATCTACTGAGAACAATATGTAGCTTCTTAGTATTTCATATGAGATACAGCTATTTGCTAGCTGCTCAGCATCACCATTTTGAGGGCTTCCAGTAAGACTCATGCTGTACTGCATCTGTCAAACATGAGTTTTCAAAGTTACCCACAACTAAATAAAGTTCAGATACTCGTTTAAAAATTATGTGCCTCTTACCAGAACACTGCTTATATAGCGTCCATCCAGCATGTAACGATTGCTAATTGTTTCCTTGAAAAACCTGTAAGGATATTAAAACCATAGCTCTAAAACCAGTACTATTTTACACATCTATTTTCAAAAGCAGGGAAGACTAGTATAATTGGTTGTTTTTTTTCCTGCAGTCTCTTTGTGGTGGGTCATCCTCATCTGGCTGCTATACCCTCACCTAATCTCTCACTCACTTGCCCCTAGCAGGATTAAGAAGAGAATCAAGAGGGCAAAAGCAAGAAAAAAACTTTAATGGATCAAGATAAAGGCAGTCTACTAAGTGAAACGGCTAGGTGGTGAAATTAAAAACCCCCAAAAGCCACCACTCACCACTAGCGGATTGATGCCCAGCCAAATCTAAGCAATGGCTACTTACCATACAATATGGTATCTCCCCTCGGTTAGTTCAGGTCAACCACCTCTGCTGTGTCCCCTTCCCAACCTCCTGCCTACCCCCAACCTACTCACTGGGCCAGCAGAGTGAGAGTCTGGAGGCACCCTCGACAGTCAGCACTGTTCAGCAAGAAGTCATCAGTGCTTTAGCATCAACACTGTTTTGGTCACTAGTCTAAATCACCGTACTGTAGCAACTGCTACCAAGAAAATTAACTCCATCCCAACCAAACCCAGTACACTCATAATACTAGAGCTCTGTTAATTCCTGCAGTGCTGGAGACAAGAGTTTGAAGTCTTTGGAATTCAGAAGAGGAGTTAGAGAAGCAACCTTTGTTCTGGGTGGGAAGGGTGGGTAGGGGTGTGTGGGGTATAGCTACAAGCACTTTTTCCTTTTGCTATATGACCTCTAACAGAGAGAAGTAAGGTTTTATTTCAGCTAAAAAATAACCAAACTGTTCTTTTTCCCCTGTGGCTGCTGCTGCTATGCAGGCCCTCCACCATCTTTTTCAGTTTACTTTTTGGGTAGTTTCGCCTTATTACCTTCCATCTTCTTCAGTACATTGACTTGGTAAAATAAAAACCAGCTATCAGTTAAAAATGGAAATGAAACTCATTGGCAGTTACTTTATCCCCAGTAAAAATTAAATAACTTCCATTAAGGATCTGTAGGTCACTTTTAAGATGTCTTAGAAGTGAGATGTACAGTTTTGACAATACTTTTAAATGTTTGATTAGAAATACACTAGGTACCAAGTAGTGCATGCAGGTATTGCCAGGACATCTTACTATCATCACTTACTTCTTTAGAGACTCCGTGTTCAGAGGAGTATTTCTGTCAGCATGTTTCATTTCAATTATGATCCACCTGAAGCAACAGGAAAAATACAATGAATATTCTTAAAGCATGTACATGTAACAATGCATAATAAAAATATAACCCCAGGCAAAAGAAACCCCCCACAAAGCAATGAGACAAAAACAAAGAAAATCCCCTCCAAAACCCGTCAACGGCTCCTTGTTGCTGAAGGTAAAAAAGAAAAGCAGTACTCAAGTGCTCATTGTTCTATCTCCATTCATCCCCAGCACATTCATGCAGATAAACCCTCTAAAACACAAAACCTAGTGCAGCAATGTTTTCACCTCACAGCACACCCTGTTGAAAGACATACCATGTTCTGACTAATTGATTGCACTTCAAGTCTGCATCATGTTTGTCAGTTCTTCTAACACCAGCTGTATTCACACACCAACAGGTAGTCCCGTTGCACTGCCTTGCCTTGAAAATACCAGTGTTTTCACACTCGGGATCGTAAAGGCCATCCGTATCCTCAAATGCATCTTTTGGTTTCTCACGGCGACCCGATTTTGAGCCCATCATTTCTGCTTTCATCAGCAGGCATTTTGGAGTCACTGAGAATAACCAGAAAGTCATGTTATGCAGCATCAGACCATACATGTCCAGAACAGAGCTCCCGGTCTATAAAAACACAAGGTTACATCAGAAGCAACCAATTTGAAGCTATTACAATGAAGAGCGGGTGTCTAGCACGTAGGTGGTGGATCAGTTGACACAACTGGGCTGTGTCAGTTTCTCAAGATGCTTAAGAGATCCAGCCAGCTTTCATTTCCTACAGCATGAGGGTTATAGTTGAGCTGAGCTTGAACCAACAGTAAGGTCCTGAAATAAGGCTCTTGCCACGTCTGGATGAATAAGAAAAGTCATGATATGTGCTTACAAGGAAGCTAAATCTTCGATAAGTCCTTGCCATTACAGGCCAAATACTAAGGCGGACAGGGCGCTTGCCTCAATATAGATTGACCTGGAGGACCAGGAAGCAGCTTTCCTTCCTTACCTCCCTTATATTCAAGAGCTCGAAGGCTATTTTCGCACATCACCTCGAGCTCGGCTAGCGCTGCCCCGCACCAGCGCGCACGCCCGGCCCGCCCGCTCTGTACTCACGCGTGTTGCAGTTCACAGTCGCACCGGAGCCCACCGCGTCGCACCAGCAATCGCCGCTGTTCAGCCTGCAGTTGCTAACGCGCTTGTTCTTCTCGCAGATACACGCTGGAAAAGAAGCGCGGCCGTGAGCCCCGGCACCCCCGGGGCACCCCTGCTCCGCGGCGGGACAAAGCCGCCCCTCACCGGCCGGGCGTGGCGCACCCAGACCTGCCGCTCCCCACCTGGCCCCCCGCCCGTCCTCAGTGAAAGGCGAGAACTTCCGTCGGGACCTCGCCGCAGGCCCCTGCGCCCGGGGACAAAGGGACGCGGAGGCCCCAGCCCGCCCTCCCTTGTCCCTCAGCCAACGGCCCCGGTGGCGGGGGGCGCTGTTTCGTGTCGAAGCGGGGCTCCCCCAGAAGGGGACCGTGGAGCCCGGTTAGGAGCAGGGGTGGCCGTGGGGGAGAGGAGCGCGGGCACTTACAGTTCTGGGCAGAGGCAGCAGCGCAGAGCAGCAGCAGGAGCGCAGCCCCACAGAACGGCTTCATGGCTCGGGCTGTTGGCGGGGCGCAGGGAGGCCGGGGCAAAGTCAGCGGAGGAGCCGGAGCGGTCTGTGCGCGGCGGCGAAGCCGATATGAGCCGCCCAACAGGTTCCGCAGGTGGTGGTGGCTGCGCCGCGCCCTCCCGGCTCCGGTTACACCTGGGACGCGCAGGTGATGGTGGTGGTGGCGGCTCCTCCTCCCGGGCCAGCTGGGCACACTGGTCCACCATCGGCCCTGCCCTCCGCACCTGGGCGAAACTGGATGTGGCAGGGCGGGTTCCTCACCTGGCCCGCCCCGAATATAGCCTCTAACCCAGGGCTGAGGAGGGGGAGAGGTGAGGGGTGTGTTGAGGTGCGGCTGGTCGCGGTGGATGGGCTGTGAAACCTCCCCGCCCGTGCTGTGAGGGCTGGGGCCTGGGGGTGTCTGTCAGGGGCCGAGGGAGAAACTGTTAGTCACCGGGGAAGCTCCCGGGCGTGTTTGCTTTGCGGGGAGGGGACAGGACAGGACAGGAGACAACGCCGCACGGTGACACACTGGCCAGGGGAACAAAGCCTCCCCTTCTCCCCGCTTGGGACTTATCGATCCCGCCGGTGACCGTCACCGCGGGCAGGACTCCCCGGGGGTGGCTGCCCCGAGGTTATCTGCCCTGGCCTTGCGGCCTCCGGGCTCGGCTTCTCCTTTCCCTCAGGAGACAGACGGGGGATGTTTTCCCTCCCCTCTGCGGGCGAGCTGCCACGGATCGCTCCCGCAGTCTGCTCCCGGCAAGCCGAGAGCCGGTAATAAACATTCACACCTTGTAGTTAAGGCTCGCTCCCATCTAGAGGTGCCCTTTGAACTGCTCCATGAGGACTTGGTGTTGAAAACAAATCATCGTAAGCCCTCAGTTAACTTGAGAAAATCCAGAACACCTGTCTGCACGGAACACACGATTTTGCAAGGATTTTTTTCTTTTCTAAAACACACATCAGATAGTTCTACCTGGGGACTGCTCTCAAGAGAGCTGCTTCTGGTGCCTGCGCTTCCCTGTGCTTTGTCTCGGAGCAGCACAGCTTTGTGGGAACCTACAGAACGGTGGGTAGTGCCAGAGCCCCGCGAGGTTGCCGAGGAGGAAATGCATGGAGGTCTGCTGCAGGTTTTAAAATGGCTTCCCAAAGTGTAAAAGCAATGGCAAGACAGAGGACAAAAGATAGGTATGGTACACTGGAAATATTTCTGAAGGCTTTTGAGTTTATTAGTTCAGTTAAAAAATAGGCATAGATCTTTCTGAAAGATACCATAGTGACCTAGATAAAATAAATTATTTTAATAGAGTAAAACCAGAATCATATCCCTCTAAGTCCATTTGGGCATATCATAGACTCATAGAACAGTTAGGGTTGGAAAGGACCTTAAGATCATCTAGTTCCAACCCCCTGCCATGGGCAGGGACACCTCACACTAAACCATGTCACCCAAGGCTCTGTCCAACCTGGCCTTCAACACCGCCAAGGATGGAGCATTCACAACCTCCCTGGGCAACCCATTCCTGTGCCTCACCACCCTTATGGGAAAGAACTTCCTCCTTATATCCAATCTAAACTTCCCCTGTTTAAGTTTTAACCCGTTACCCCTTGTCCTGTCACTACAGTCCCTAGTGAAGGGTCCCTCTCCAGCATCCTTGTAGGCCCCCTTCAGATACTGGAGGAGGAATACTATGAGGAATTGCCAGCTTTTCCAAAAACTTGGAACTTCCTCTTACCATTGTTCACATTTGCTATACAATAAAAACATGTTGATGCTTTTGATCATGCAAACCTCAGTTAATGAAACTGTTTGAAACCTGAAATGAAAGTGCGTATCAGCTCTCTTTGTGGTTTTGTCTCTGTGTGCAGCTGTTTGTGTTGTATCTTGGGGTTTGTATTTACTGTTGTCTACAGCACCTTGCTGAAACTAGGTAGGTGCTGTCTTGGGTGGGTCTGAGTTAAATGACTGTTCTTTGGGTCTGCTCCTGGTATGGCCTGAATCGGAGTTTTGCAGCATTTATCTTGATTCTCTTCTTGTAGTTTTGTTTGGCTTCTCGATGCTCTTCCAGTACACCTGGCCAAGACTGAAATAAGAGCATGATCTTAGCAACTGAAAACTTGGGAAGACTTTAAAGTCTCTGATATGGACTTTTCTCATTGCTGCTGTCAAATGATGGTGTTCTTCAGGAGGATGAGCAGGATCAATAGGCTCAGGAATGCCTGCCTTACTGTAAATCTCATTTTCTATGTAAATACAGAGTTTTGTTCAAGGTAAGTGCTACCCTGTTGTTACCACCAAGCTAAACTATGTGATCCTTGCTAGTAATGAATGGTGGATATTATGATAGTCTTTTTTCTTTAATATGTAAATGGAGAAGAGAACAGGCTGGGTGCATGCTAATCCTCCTTGTTCTCTTGGCTCTTGATCTGTGTAGGTAAAACTCTGTGCCTAGTTTTAAAAATCCAAGCCTTAGTCTGCAGTCTTGAAACCTTTCAGTGGCTACTACTGAAAGTAGCACTGCTTCTTCAACCACCTCCAAGTACCAGGCAGATCTTTGTTGTCAGTATACAGAGAAACAGCCATAAACTTTAGTGTCTAAGGGTTGAATGGTCTAGGGTATTTGTGTTGACCAGAGCAGCCTCTTACAGTGTGTTTGGTTTTTTTAGTGTGACAATTATGTTTTCCCTAAGCTGTTAGGTATCACCTGTAGAAAGCATTACCATAACTGTGGTGCAAAGATAGGTGCATTATGTTGTTGTTTGTAGTACAGCATTTAATTTGGTTCCAATTTGCAGGAGCTCATAAAGAGCTTGTTATCTATAATGTCTCCAGGTTTCCAAATCTGAAGAAATTATTGTTGATATATTGCTCAGTATTTTCGAAGCAGAGAGAGTTGCTTTATACAGTGTAATTCTCCAGCAAAACAATGGTTGGGAAGGACCATTTATAGTAGTATTAACTTTTCCCTCTTTCCAGGTTATTTTGAGGGAAATTTCTCTGTAGAATCAAAGCCAGTGGAGCAGGCACATGGTTAAAAAGACAAAAAGGCCCAAGTATCAAAGTAGCTTCATTAAAGCTACCTTTCATTAAAGCTACATTAAAACACATACCTTAGTGTCTAGGGGGTTGGAGTGCAACGTCTTTTTGTACCTTTTTTGGCAATACATAAGTCTTTGTGCCGGGATACGTGACCTTATTCAATGGCTATTCTAAATAATCCTTCCTCAGCATACAGCTTGGAAGATAAGGCCTCGCTTACTGGTTTTAAGCAGGATAATTTTATCAAGTGTTGGAGATACCTCCACTTATCAAATAGCTGAATGCTGATTAGGCAGTGCAGTGTGGGCTAGTTGTGGTTTACACTTACTGAAGTATAATTATAGCTTAGCCAAATTATAATTTGCATGCTAGGAGCACATTACTGGCTCTGTCACATAGCCAGAAAATGAAACAAAAAGTTTGTATCACCAGGTCCTGAAGAGTATGTGAACTTACATTAGGAAAACTCCTGTGATCTATGTTAAGATTTTGCTTTGTAATTCCATCTGATGCAGATGTGTTGGGAGAATAAAGTTCAGTTCACTCATGTACTCATGAGCTGCTGATGCCCGTGGGAGATTTTCTCCTGACTTCAGTGAACTGTGAATCAGATTCAAGGAGATAAATCCAGCTCTTCCTGAAGTCAGTAAGAATTAGAGCAATACTGGGATCTGGCCTAGGCCTTTACGGGGTCATTTCCAGGCCTTCTCTAGAAATTGGGTAAAAGTGGGCCTTGTGATACTCCCCAGCACAGGAAATGGACAAAATCTGCTTTCAGGGAAAGTTGCAAGGATGTGTGAGTCACTCCTGAGGTATCAGGAAACAGTGCAAGGTGGGGCTGTGACATGCACTGTGGTCAGCAGATCAGGGAGATGAGTGGAGAGAGAAAGATCAGTACCACTGGAGGATTTGGCAATCCAGCTCTAACTGAGATTCTCCAGAGCCTGCAAACCTGGTTGGTTTGGGTGTACCCTTCTAAAGATAACCAAAGTCTCATCCCTAGAAAATAGGCCATGTGGTACCAAATTGCAAAACATAGTCTTGTGTTTACTTAACAAAAATAAGGAATTTTGAAAATCCATCATGACTTTTAACTGGTTACAGCTGACAAAGTTAGAAGCGACCAGAAATAGACTTAACACTCAAAAGTGCCAACAGGTTTTTTGGATGGTAGGATGGTAGACATTGCTATATACATTATCTATATTCTAGACTCAGGAACTGTTTATTAGGGCAGGTTTAGAATGTTTGTGTTCAACTTGGTTTTGTTTTTGCAGACTGCACCATTTGCAGAGAATGAAGCCTATGAAGAGGACAATACTGAGAAATTATATAATCTTGACCATGATGTGCTTCTAAAGAGTTCATGCCTTCACAAATCGACATACGCTGCTGCTGCTCAAAGATGTGTAATGAAACTGGTGCTTCTGCATATTTTATTTTTTCTGCAGGTTTGAAAACAACCATGTAACAGGTAAGTATTGTCACCCTGATTTGAATAATGAGAACGTTTGGAGTTACAGGCAATTTAAATGTTTCAGTTAAATGAAGCTGGTCAAACATAGCGCCAGTAAGAAAGTAAACGAGCAGTCATGTCTTTCTGCTAGACTGAGTGTCTAACCACTTCTGAACACTCAGAAAGCTAATTTACATGTTTTGTTTTTAGCCTGTTTCTAGATCATGTATTTTTTTTAATCCCTTTGAATAACAGTACGGTTTAAAGCATAACTCTGTGTTTTGCTGAAATTGTCGTGCACACTGGAGATGAAAGTTAGTTCTGAGGCAGTGATGACACTCGTAAAGCTGTCCTCAGCTTCAGAAGCCCACAGCTTGGCTCTCTATCAGGCTTGAGACTGAAAGTAAGAGTACCTCCTAAGAGGTAAAGGGCTGTTGGTTCAGAGGTTCATAAAACTAGACAGGGTGTAGCCACAGGAGGGAAGTGCTCATGCAACTGATGTTCTATTTGTGTATTTGAAGGTTATAGAAACCAATCTGTGATATGTTGTGGCATCCTCACCTCTCTGCCAGGGCTTAGTCTTAGCTCCAGTGGGTGGGGTCAGCAGCAGGCTCATCATCCTTGTCTTTATTTACCTGAAGATACATCTCCATGGCTCTTACACTGACAGCATTAGATAGAACATCTGTTAGCATTCAAAGCTGCCTAAAATGAGCAGCATTGGATGTAAAAAATTGAATAACTTTTCATCCAGACTACTTTGTAGCAGAGAGGCAAACCTATTAGTTCCATAAAGTGCTCAATCCTCCAGAACACGTGCTGGTTTAGTAGGGTTTGGAGAGGGCTCAGAGGAAAAGAAATTGTAGCAAGAGAAGCTCCATTTATACTAGAATTGCTTCAGTTCTAGCATATAAGATACTTTTTTGCCCTTTTAGCCATTCTCTGGGAAAGAAGATACAGATGGAACTTTGTCAAAACACTTGTTAAAAACTGTTTGAGAGAGTCCTAAATACTTCTTAGCATATTTTGTCACATGATATCTCTGTGCTGTTGGCAGAGCCAAAGCAGATGGTTACGCAGACAGAAAGTTGTCGTGTCTCTCAGTATGGTGTTAGCAGCAGGACATTTCTCACAACCTGAAAATGTCTGCCATTAAATTTGCTCTGTGTCAGACTTGTCTATACGTACAGGTCCCTACAAGGCTACCTAGAGTGTGGATTTACAGTGTGTCGGGTAACCTGCAGTAGCACAGCTGTACCCAGCAGTAAGCAGAAGACATTTACTCCTCAAGGAAAACAGGGCCAGAGCATGCACACAGGTGGTTTCCAGGGAGCTGCCAACATGCTGTAAATCCCCACCCACTGTTGCCTCATGCTAACTGGTGTGTGAAGTCATACCCTAAGCAAAGGTGAATAAATACACCCATGAGCAGAGCAGAAAAATCTCATCCCACAAATGCCATTTAGCACAACACAACGGACAGCAGAGAGCGGTGTTTGTAGCTCACAGAATGTCTTTTTTCCTCAAGGAAATCTATTGCTTTTGTGCTGTGCCTACTTTCCAGTTCATTGGTTTCCCTTATTTTTTCAGTAGCTGTTACCAAAGTTCAACTGTTTCTCTTTGCACTTTAATTTACAGCCCTTGTACTAGTCATTTTATTGCTTCAACCTCTGAGTGAGAGAACTTTTACAACTTGTGATTACTAAATTCAGAGAAACAAGAAAGCTTTTTGACCTGCCGTGGAGTAATCATAGCTCACATTGTTTCTTGGGAGAGGCATTCAATGTTTAACAAACTGTGGCAACTTTAATTTAACCATGTGGAGCCTGGACCATTGGATGGGAGTGGAAAAAAAAGTAGTTCCAGACTCTTTCCAGCTCACATTTTAACGTGCCTGCTTTTAGTCTGCAAAGGGCTGTCTTTGAAGTTCTGTCTTCCCACTGCTGAACTTGATGCTGTTCCCTTTGTTGCAGTATGAGAGGACTGGAGCCAAACTATTTGCATATGGATATAATTTTCCCTTACATCAGAAATTATAGTTACATTACCTTTGATTAATCCTTTCATGGGGTGAGTCTTCCAAATGCTGTGCCATGAAAATAAGGCTGTTGACAATAGAGAAATTGTCCTGTCTTAATTACTAGTGTTGTTTCATATTATAGGGGCTGTGGTCATGGACAAAGATTCAATTGTATTCAACAGTGTAAAAGCAGAGAATATATAGAAACCCTGTGTCTGAAGGAGTTTGTGATCTGAATTATGTGACCAGTAAACTCTGGAATTGGAAAATGATGTGAAAAAGTTTTGATACAATTTACACACTTTGCCCAATTGTAAACCAGCTAGCTGAGAGTTTGAAGGCTCCCACCTATTCTTTATCCACTGAAACAGAATTAGTAAGAAATGGGGAACTTGCCTTCAGGAGAAGAATTAGGACATTATTTTGAAAGCACCAAAGTTCTTCTGGTTTTTATGTCCCTCAATAAAATTCAGATCTATTTCCTGCATAGTAAGTTGCTTAGATCTGTTGGGGTTTTGTGTACCAACGTGTACATGTATATTACAACAGAAAAAAAGAGGATTAAAACACAAGCTGAAGAGTTTGTGTTTTTCAGTGCAGACGAGGACAGTCCAGTCACTCTGCGCATGTGCCACACACCGGCAGCACCCTGGGCTTGGCCGACACATGCCTGCTCCCTGCTCCTGGGAAGCCTGGTGCTCTTGGCAGCTGGAACAAGTGGCTGCAGGGTCATGTTGGTACACAGGAGTCCTGTTTATTAGTGCTCTTTGCAGAATACAGCATGAAGAAACAGCACAGGCGCAACTGGGTGACGAATAATCATGGTTATTAAATACTCGCCAACACAGAGTACAATAGAATATAGTGGGGACATCAAACGGTTGAAAAACATCCAACAACCTCACAGTTAAAGGAGTACTGTACATCTGCTTTCCCTTTTAACACAAAATATGCCCTCAGAGTTTGAGTTACTGATGTTGAGAGATATATCATTCATCACTTGCCATTTTGTGACGTGATGGTGAAGGCCTAATATATTCTATCTTATCTATTTATTTTGACGTAAATGGAACTCTTCAGATAAGGTTACTTCATTTCATTTACAACCAGCACAGAAGTGCCAATCCTTAAACTATTCCTCTGCTTGGAATTAAAGTTCATAGAGGATATCTCAGCCTATTTGCAATAGAAACGAACAGCAAGTTCAAACTTACATCCCCAGAGCTTGATGTAGATGTGGTGCTGCAGAGTACCTGACTGTTCTGTGGTACGTAGAAGCAGCATGTTCAAACATGCAGTGTTTGCTGGCAGCCTTCACATTCTTCTACTATTTGCTGTTTTGGTCTGTTCAGCACTTGTTCACTACATAATTTCCAAATGATTTTCTTTTCTTCTTTTTCCTGAATTTCTCAGGATCTGAGAATAATTACAGCTTTCTGGACTTTAGTATTAGAAAACCCTGCTGTATGCTCAGAAGTTCAAGTAAACAAACCTGAAAACAGTTTTCCTGCTCATTCATCTATCAGTGACATACACTGCAGTGGCATTGGACCATCTGTATTTATAATCAGACTGTAACATTTGTCAGTACAAGGATTTAGCTGTAAGGCTCCTTCCCAGTATCCTTACTTGCCATCTCAAGTAGCAAACAGGTAAGCCACACCCAGCCTGTTTTGCTTAGTCCAGACATCACGATACCACAATTCATCTGAACTCATCTAAATCCTTACTCTCTTCCCACATAAAAACCCCAGGCTTCTGGTGATAGATGTGGATTCAGGTGGTTTATATTCCTTTTTAATTTACTGAAACTTGTGTGACTAGCTACACCCTCTATTCTGAAACAGTTAACCACATAATCCAACATTTGATTTTTATCCAAATGCTTCAGTTTCGTTATGGTCTTTGGGAATGGAGCTCTCAGCCTGTGTGCATTTCATCTAGAACATCCTGGACTGAGAGGCCAGGTTCTCCCTAGCAATGTCAGGAGTCATCCCTACAGCAAAGAGAGGCTTTTTCATTTCATACTCTGCAATAAATAGAAAAAATCTATAATTGAAAAAATACATGTTTTATTATGAACAATGATCTGTATTTAGAAAAACCAGTGGTTCTCCATCATGACTCTGAGAAGAAATACCAGATGTCATTCCTATGGTACTTTATCTTTCTTAAAGAAATAAAAAATACAGTTTACCAGAAAATATATCAGAGGCCAAAAGCATTCATTTTCCTACCTCACAAATATTAAAAGATTAAAAAGAAACTATGTATATATAATTTACTAAAATACTAGTCCTGTGCTTTTCGTCAGTGATGTTTCTTAACGTATCTGTAAACAACTCAATCACTGAAAAACTTTAAGTCCTTTTTCATTTAAAGGAAGCAAACTGCTCTGCAGCTGCCTTTTTGGACCGGGTGCTGGATAGCTGTGTAACTATATATACACACTTCATGTAATTGAGTTCCACTACATTAATGGATTCTCTCTTCCCCATCCCTCCCCCCTCCCCCCCCCCCAAAAAAAAAAGAATCCCAGGCCTTTCAAACCCAGGTCTTATTCATTATATATTATATAAAAATCAGTTCTAACTGTGATAACAGTTTTGAAAGTGTTCAAGGCCAGGTTGGACAGGGCTTGGAGCAATCTGGTCTAGTGGAAGGTGTCCCTGCCCATGGCAGGGGGTTAGAATTGGATGAGTTTTAAAGTCTCTTCCAATCCGAACCATTCTATAACACACAAAGATGAAGAGTAGCTAAACCTTCCACCTATAGGAAGAATTAGGAATTAAGTACAACATGAAATCCAGTGTATTGTCCTAGACAAATGCTGCATTGGCTTAGTTTAAATTGCTGGTGGTGAAACAGTGCCCCCTAATGTCCTGCAAGGTAGTTGTAAACCACGAGTTTTAGTTATTAATGTGGTTATTAATAAGCCAAGTTGAGAAGCAGTTAAGTCCACTGTATCATGGAGAGGATTTAGTCAGGTAAAGTCCTGTTTCCTTATTGTCACTGTGTTCAGGCATCAACCTTTCCCACATCGATGTTTTTCCATGATGCTTCCAAGTTGAATCCTTGAGTTAACCCCATCTCAACAGTCCTGCCTCAGACTGCAGAGCCCTGCAGGAAAGAATGGTGAAGTTTTGGACTTCTCACAGCTTTTTCCTCACAACTTCGGGCTGAGCCAAGGTTAGGCAGCTGGTCTGTATCAGAGCAGAGCGCTGGATGGCAGGGGACAGTACAGTAGGGGTTAGAGAGTCACAGTACCTGTTGAGTAACCCGATTGTAACAGATACTTGAGAGTGAACAGAAAAAAACCCCAAACTTTTAATATTTTGTTGCAGATCCAACAGCTCAAAAAAAGGGGGAGAACTACAGGGAAAAAAAATCCCAACATACAAACCCTGGAAAAGCTCTATGTGGATAAAAACTACCTTGTAAGCCACTTTGTATGGATAAGCCAAGGAATACAAATATTAAGGTGTCGAGGATAAGGCACTATTATCACTGGAGTTTTATGTTTTTCAGTAGGGCAAAAAATATGACAGAAGCTTGTTTCCTAGTCTGAACAGCTTAGATAGTTATGTGAAGGTTTCTGTAACTTATCCTTTGTTTTCCACAGCTGTCGAACGAATGTTGGTTCATTGAGGTGTGCTTTGAGTCCCTTACATGAAAAGTATTACATACACATAAAGAACAGTTTAATGCAGGGTAACTCAACCTCAATACTCAACATGTATATAAGGAGAGAACCTCAAAGAAACAGACTTTTGCCCAACTGAAGTATTTGGTATTTTCTCCACCCTGCTGCTCTGTTTCCCAATTTCAGGCTGTTCTGTACAGAGATGTTGTTAGTTTGTACATTTACCATTTGAGGCGTTTCTCCTCTCTCTAGAGAACACAGTCGGAAACCTGGTATGACCCTTCCCTGAATATGCTCACTAACTCTGAGCACCTGCATAAAGATACCTAGCAAGTTATTGATAAAAGATGAGGTATGACGAGGCCTCTCATCTCATTACCATGACCAATGTGACTAGTTACACTTTTAACTCACCTGTACAGGAGGAAACAATGAAATTGTGTGTATTTCTTGCCATCTTCCTAGAATAAATCTTTAGCTCTTACTAATTCCAGAGGGGCTCTTACTAGCAAAGGGGTTTTTTAATTGCTACTACGTTTCAGTAGGCTGCCTTAGACTAACTGTGTAACGTATGTGGAAGAGTAACATCAGGGTATATTGCACCTGTATTTTTAATGATCTTGGACAAAACGTTACCTATGCCTTCTCACCCCCCATGGGGAGACGCTTTACGGAAGCTTTTCCAAAGCTGTCGGGCAGGTGAGAGATGAAGACCGAGTCAAGTTTGCAAATAGCATCACAGAACGGGTTGGAGGGGACCCGAACAGCCCCTCGGCCCGGCCCGGCCCGGCCCAGCCGGTTTCGAGACTCATTCACCCCGTCTCGTCAGTGTCGGAGGCTCCACACAGGGCTCGGACACCACCGCGGCTCCTCCACCCCCCGCGGCCCAAGCGCCTCGCCTCAACGCCTCCACCCGGCGGCACGGCCGCCCCGCCCACCAGCTGCCGCGCCCTCCTGTGATTGGCTGGCGGGCCCCGGGCGGGCTCCGCCGGAGGAAAGAGTTTTCCGCCATCCGATTGGCTGAGGCTGTTGCGTCGCGCGCTCCGGTTGGTTGCGAGAGGCGCCATTTCGAGCTGCGCGGCGGGGAGGCTGTGGCGTGAGGGGAAGGCTGGTGTGAGGAGGGGAGGGGAGCGGGGTGGGCCAGCCCAGGCCGGGGCTGTGCCAGAGCCTCCGCCTCTCTTGCTGGGAGCTGAAGTACCGTGATCGTAGCCACGCGTGAGGGGCTTCTCTGGGGTTTATATGGAACTGACTTATAGCCGGACAGCCGGGTAGGTGGCTGCAGCCTGGCCTCAGGCAGCCCTGTGCTCTGTGGAGGGACCCGCGGAAGAAGTAAACGCATTTACTCCCACTAAACATCCCTTTCTTCACGCTCCATTTGTAATCTTGAGCTTTAGTTACAAATACATAACGTCTGTTTCCTTGGTTATGTTTTTGGTATGTCCTACTCAAGGGTTAATAAAACAATTATGGTTCTGCCGCTTTAATTCTATTAACGTTCTTTAAAACAATGCACAACCACAAATTGGAGGGGGAGGAATAGAGAGTTTTTTGGTAGACCCAAGTAAGCTGTGAGGGGCTATGGTGATCTGTTTGTTTTTTTTTTCCCATTTTTCAAAATTTTGAATGGAAAAAGATGGAAGGCTCCTTCCACTGAAAAAAAAAAAAAGTTTTACCAAATGAAAACCAAATTAAATCTAGATAGCTGGCTTAGGGTACCAAACTTGGATGATTAGTACTGAATACAGTTAATTTTTGTATCACCTGACATACCAGCATTACCGAAACATTTCATTTGAACAAGAGAAATAATAAGAACTACTGCTCAGACTATATTTGCAGTTAATTTCTTTTTTTAACAGGAACCTTTACTTGCCAAAATGAAGCAGAATCTGGTGTGTCAGACACCTCCCACCATCACTGTTCGCGTTAAATCAAGCGCATCCAGATCACATCAGCAAAAACCCCATATCAGACTGAAGTGGTCTTCTCTTAAAGACCACGAAGAAAAACATGAAAAAAAGGCTTCTGCTCATAAAGATAAATGTCCAAAGGGACCATGTCTGGTTATTCAGCGCCAGGAAATGACAGCTTTCTTTAAACTATTTGGTAGGCTACTAATGATAGATATCAATGTATTGACTGAAGAGTGGGAAACTATTAAGCAAGTATGTTTTCTCAACTTGGTGATTTGGGGAGTTCTGACATAAATACTAATGACCATGTTATTGCCTAAATGTATTTTGTTGGTGTATTTAGTATGCAAGTATTTAATGGTAAGTTAAAAATACACAAATGGCTAGCAATGTGATGAAAAATTATCTTTTTAAATTACAAGGAAACCGAGGTGGTAAGATACATCCTTTTATTATCACTTCCCTTTCCTATTTTTTCTTATATTTCAACAAATACATGTGAAACAATGTGTATCTCATTTTACAAAAAGCTTAAAAAAAGCTCAGCTCCCACTCTTACAAACATGTTATTTATTGTGGGAATAAGCATTTAGGGGGAGAATCGGAATGGGAAGAAAATCCAAGGAGTATTCTCTGCATTTCTTTTGCATTTGTGTCTCTTTCATATACAGTTTTGTATTTATTTAATTTAGTGAAGAGATTTAATAACAGTGGAAGAGTACACTTGGGTTTTATTTGAACTTTGAATACAGAAGTCAATCAGAGTGAGTTTATGGAAATCCTGTTATAGTACATGTTCACAGACAGTGATGCACTGACCACAGATAATCAAGTATTGCCTTATAAAGGCTGTCAGGTCATCAGGGTGCAGAGATCTCAGCAGTCTGCAGGTCATCAGAAATAATGGAATGCTGTTAGATGGAAACACTTAATGCAGGAAGAGTTTTTTAATTCCTAATCTTTCTCCTGTCAGTTTCTCTGCTCTCTGCTGGTGGGTTTAGCTTCTTTCTGTTTATGTGGTTAATATCAGGAGTGTCTTATTTACAAAGACTTTCTAGCAAAAAGAATTCTGCTGGTTGAAATGCTACACTTTCCTTTTGTTGTAGATGATGACCTAATCCAAGACTTCCTTTGGATGGACTGTTGCTGTAAAATTGCAGACAAAGTAAGTACATTTCCTTATTACTTAATACGACATATATTGAGTGAAAAATCTGCCCTTAATCACTTGATACCGTAATGCAAATACAGACCATCATTTTTTTTTCTAATGTATTTATATAGAAGCTTCAAGAAACTCAATATATGATTTAATAATTGTTAAAAAAATTATGGAAATATCTTGGTGCAAGATGTATGTGTGAAATATTTTAGGAAATTATATACTGAAATAATATATTGATACTTTATTTTACATTTCCAAACAGTATCTCTTGGCCATGACTTTCGTTTATTTCAAGAGGGCTAACTTCACAATAAATGAGCATACCAGAATCAATTTCTTTGTCGCTCTGTAAGTACTTTTAAATTCCCTGGGTTTATTAGCATAAGCTTGGTGTGATTTTATCCCTTTGTTTATGCCACTGATAATTATGATATATGATGATACTTCTTGCATGAGTGCGTAGTTGCTTGGGTCTATATGAAGTATAGAAACATAATCTACATAACTATAGAATCATAGAATAGTTAGGGTTGGAAAGGACCTTAAGATCACCTAGTTCCAACCCCCCTGCCATGGGCAGGGACACCTCACACTAAACCATCTCACCCAAGGCTTCGGTCAACCTGGCCTTGAACACTGCCAGGGATGGAACATTCACAACCTCCCTGGGCAACCCATTCCAGTGCCTTACCACCCTAACAGGAAAGAATTTCCTCCTTATATCCAATCTAAACTTCCCCTGTTTAAGTTTTAACCTGTTACCTCTTGTCCTGTCATGACAGTAACAGGTCTAGTAACAGGTTTAGTAACTATACCTAAACAATGCAAATTAAACATTCTTCCTCTGACGCCACCTGTGTGGAACAGGCTTGAGCAGCAGCGAGGGGATGTTGTGTTGGTGCAGTGACACACTGTGTGGCATCCTGCCTACCAAACTAAGCCTGTGAAATTTGAACAAGAAGCACATGCAGGACAATACATGGCAACATCTGTATGGCTCACACTGCCTGTTACAAGACCCTATTTTGTATCTTTGGCAGCTTTTAAGTCATTTGTACTCAAATGTTTCATCATGATTTGCACTTCAGGAGTAACTTTTTATTATTCTGTCAACTTAAGTCAACTGTAAAAATGTTGCTAAATAATTTCTGAGACCTTTTGTGAACAGTTCTGAAACTTCCATACTTTGAAACAGAGGTGCTTTACCAAGTCAATATAATCTCTCAATATTTGGCTGTACCTATAGAGCGATTCAGGATTTTCTTTCAGAAGAGCAAGAGGATTAGAAAGGGACAAATGGCTGGGGGGAGGTGGGGGGGGAGGGATGGGGAGGACACATGACACGGACAATTAGAGGGAATACTGGAGTTAAAAGCAAGTGAGAAAATAGGGAAGGACACTAAAAACTGTAATTTTCCAGGTAAACAAGAGTTTAGTATCAGGTGGATCCAGAGGAAGTAAGTATTTTCCTCTTGTCTGAGAAGTTGACCCAGAACCAGAAGTAGCACAGAGTGAAGGAAGGGAGAAATATAGACATTAAAAGACTCCTTTAAGGTTCTAATTCACACAAGAATGGAGACCTGTATTTAGTTGTTTACTACTAATTTAATGTAATTTTTCAAGAATTGCTAAAAATCCATAAAGTAGAAAATGTAAAGTTTAACATTTTGTAAGACAGTTTTAAACATTGTTTAGATAATCAGTCAGACATTGTTCCATTTTAGTGCAAGGACACCTTGCCAGTCTGGAGAAAGCTCTCAGGATATGTTAGTTCTTGCATTGTCTACTCATTTAGGAGCCTCTAGGGTAACGCAATTTTTCTAAGAGTTTAAGTTTTTTTTTACCCAAAGGATGCATATGGAACTTTCTGTAGAACAGAAACAAACACTACTCCAGAGGGCTGTATGTTGTTAGTGGTTACTCTCACAATACTGGGAAAAAGAATTACTTTACTATTATGTCTTTTGATATTAGAAATCATACAGTGATTTAAGATTGAATAATATTTACAATCACAAACATATATATGTTTGAAGGTATCTAGCAAATACAGTTGAAGAAGATGATGAAGAATCAAAGTATGACATTTTCCCATGGGCTCTGGGAAAAGTCTGGAGAAAGCTCTTCCCTGATTTCTTAAAGTTAAGAGATGAGCTGTGGAGTAGACTTGACTACAGGGCTATTGTAAGCAGACGCTGCTGCGAAGAGGTAGGGAGGGTTTTAATCTTGTAGCTGATGAAAGTACAATACTTAATACCAGCTAACAATCTTGCTCTGTCCATATAATTTCTTCTTTACAGTGTGTAGACAAGCCATGGGAAAGAAAATATGCAGCTAACTTGTAATGGCCCATTTATCCTCTATGATTTATTTTTCTTCTGCATTTAAAATACATTATTTAACACTACGCTTTTAAGATAAACTAGAATATTTTACACTGCAAAAAAGTGCTAAAAGTGAAGTTTTTATTGACAAGAATTCTTCTGCTTGATGCATAATTTTTATTTTAAATTTACCATTGGTTGTTTCCCTTCATTCACTTGAGAAATACTTCTGTGTGCATGTATGTGCTTTACAAATTACAACTTTGTGCATAATTAAAACCTTCTAATAAAAATCCCAGCACTTCAGGTGAAATTTCAATGCTTCAAAATGAATAATGTAATTTCAATTGGCTTTTTATGATAAGGGTTTTTCATTGCATTTAAAAAAAGAGAAACAGAAGAACGCATTTTTAATGTTGTCTACTATAAATGCAGTATTACAAACCATGTTTTCCAAACCTCTTAGGAAGGGAAAAAGGACATTCCTCACTTTTTCAGGTGGAATGTATTTGTCTGGAAAAGCCCTGTCACGTTCTAAGAACATAATGTTTACTACAGCTAGTAGAAAAGAAAATCTCACGTACTCTAGAATCCCATCTCTGGGGATAGAATGAGATGCTGATGGGAAAAGCGCAAAGAACAAGACAAGTGCAGAATGCTTCTCCCACCACACCCTCCCAGCTGCCAACCATCATTAGTTCAGTCATGTCATGAACCAGAAGATCCTTCTACTTGATATTCAGCAGTTAGTAAAAGTCGCTATCTTCTGGCCAACATAAGAAACATACACTCGTATTTGGGATGATTCACATGAATATACAAGGCTGTCAACTGTTGTGTTTCCAGATCTGATTTACAACTGGTCTATTTGCTTGTGCCTAAGGTAGCAAACTTTCTAGTGAGACAGCAGCAGATAGACTACAGATGATCCCTATTTCAGCTACACAGAATTTATTCTCTGCCATACGTGAACTGGATCCCTTGTTTTCCTGTTCCTGTGGCATCTGATCTAATGATTGTTTGGTAGGTGATGGCTATTGCTCCAACACATTATGTGTGGCAGCGAGAGCGTTCCATATACCACAGCGGAGCTGTGAGAAACTACAGTGGTGATGAAGCACAGCTGCCCCGAGGACCAAGTGCTACTCCTACAGACTGCCTGCTTTGTGGTAAGAAAGGAAGATTTGTACGGCTAGGATTATCATCATCTTCCTCCTCATCTACTGACACTTTGGAGATGATGGAATTACAATCATCAAAGAATTTGAAGGACACCATTGCAACTGAAAAAATGCTCGTTGACTCTCCTTTGAATTACACCCAAGGTATAGTTTAAAAATTGCAAATAATTTTTAATTAGTTTGAGGCAACTGAGGCCATATTTACCCGTGGTATGGCAAGGCACGATATCTCTGCGTGAGCAGGCATCTCTGTTACAAAGGCAGTTACCTTGGCAAAACTGTGCCTTTACTGCCATAGTTTCCATTTTCACTTCTTGCCTCTTGATTTCCTGAAGTACCACCTGCTTTGTATTATGAGTCTCTTCAAATTGTCTTTATCTACTACAGTAGATTTTGGGGTTTGTTCAGTCTATTTAGGCACTATTACTATTCCTGCATCTCAGATTAAATTGAGAATCCTATTTTAAACACATAGGATTGGCTAGAGGCAGCAATGAAAATAAAGGAGTGGGTCACATGAGTTAAAAGGCTGTTGCTGAGAGCACTGTTTTTAGAAAAGGCAGGCTGCTCAGTTGCTGTCTTCAGTTTTGACACATTAAATCACAACTCACATTTTCCTCTAAGTGTATCTCAGTGTTAACAGAGCTTATTTAAGATTTCCTTGTAAGACTGGGGTACGAGTATAAAGCAATACAAAAATTTAATCTGAAAACTGTTTTATGCAATTGCATCTCTGTATATTCCAGATAGCGTTCTGAGCCTCTGTATGAGAGGCCTCCATTACATACAGCAGTTATGGGACAAATGCTCATAATTTAATTAAGAGTAGAACACACCTGAGATGTAGACTTCCTTCATGCACTTAACCACTGCAGCCTTCTTGGCATCCTTATTTAACATGGGTTTCCAGTTATTTATAGCTCTACTTTTCGTTTGTATGTGTTCTAACTAATATCCAAATTTTAACCATTACAGCTGTTACTTCTTTTGACAGCTTCAGTACAACTGTGATTCTCAAGGAATCCTTCCACTTTGGAAAATTTGGCATTTAAATCTTCCTTGAGATACAGAACAAGTCAGATGTCTACAACACATCATTTAATAAAGTTAAACATCACCACATGCTTAACATGTTATATGGAGACTTATGTGAGGCTCTAAAAGACTTAAAAATCTGTTTGTTGCTTGAGGGGTCTTGCTTTTGGTATCTGACAAGGTCAGGAAAAAAAAAAGTTTGACTGTTTGGGAATGTTTTATATAAAGCAAAGTTCATAGAAAACCAGGCAGCTTTCAGCACAGATGCTGTAAACGAACCAGAGCTCTGTGTGTCAGCAATGTTTTCTTTTTCTTGAAATAAGCACAGCTTTATCAAGAGAACAAATTCAGTCAGTTTTTGTTTCTCTTACAGTTGTGCTTTAAGAAACTGACAGCCATCAGTTGGTAGCCAGTGAAGTCAGAAGCAGCTTCACTTGCATTTCAAATGACAGACCTTGATCCATTACTTTCTTACTCAATTTTTTTTCTCCTTATTTCTGGTAGACTGTCAGAGCCTGTCCAGCAAAAGGAGACTAGGTAGCACCTGTAAGCAAGACAAATCCATGGAGTGGTTTACAAGCAATGAAGAATGAAGTACACCTGACGAGACAGAAACAAATACTGTGCTTTGCAAGACAACGTACCTGAGGATTCTGTTAAAACTTCTCCCTTTAAATGTAGGTGAGGGTTCAAACTATCTAGACCATCCAAATTATAGCCATCATTACTTTAAAGTTATACAACTGGCAAAATGTAGCAGCTACTTTGTAACATTTTATTTTATTCTGATACAATACTCAGAGTAGCAGCTGACATCCCAGCAGCATCAAGCATGCAGTGGTCCAAACTTTCTCAGCTTGATAAGGAATGCTAATCAAAAAACAAAGCAAATTACTACTTCAGTATTTCAATACACAAAGATTATTATTATAAGTTTTATGGTTTTGTGATAATGTATCAAATGCTAGTACAAAACAACAGCATTTTTAAAAGTAAAATACCACTAAACATTTGAGATTAAAAAAAAAAAAAATTTTTAAGGGTCTCACCTGAATGAGCATCCTGCCAGGAAGATGGTCGAGCAACATAAGGCACCGAGCAGTGTGTTTCAGTGTCATCAGAAAGTGGTTCTATGAAACAGCATTCTTTTGTTAAATCTTTCCAGCAAGTTCAAAACATAAAAGCAGACTAGAGCTGCAATAACATGTGTTATTTTCCCCGACATACTTTCATCTTATTTTTTTCTTCTGTCAAAGTGCTTTGTTGTCGCCTATCAGCACATTCAGACCTCTCTGCTCTACTATGGATTTTGCAAATCTATTCTGGCATGAGGCATCTTTTTGGATGAGCCAGAAGGGCACAATTACAAAACAGAGCACACTGGCAACATTTCTTCTATAGAACCCTTAAGCCTATCAGGGTCCTCTAAAGCAGGTACAGGAAGAGTAGAGGACTGAATTTTATTAGAAACATCAGTTTGAAAACAGCAGAATGGCAGTCATTCTTTATTTGCAGACTGCAATATATTTTCTTTTTAGTCTAGATTTGTTTAATAAGATATTTAAACATAAATAACCATTAATATATCCTTTTCCAAATCTGACAAGCTATATGCTGACCAAAGGCTTGTCTGTTCTTTGCAGCAATCTCAGCTGACCTAAGGAAAAAAAAAAACCAAACCCAAAAAACCAAAACAACTGTTTCTTCGTACAAACTTTGCCATCATTATATCCCTGGATTATCAAATTGCATTAACAGGATCTCTCATTAGCAATAATGTTCTTACCATTGTATTCATTTTCTGTAAGAACTACTTGATCCTGAATGTAGTTTTCTTCATATTCGTTTTGAAGTGTTTCGTCAATATTTTCTGGAGTTTCCACCACTTGGCTTGATTTGAAATTCTTGATTTTAGCAGGGAGCACCAACCAGTCTCTGTAAGTTACCTCGATGATCTTTTCACACAAAAAAGGGAGCCTGGAGGTCCGTATTCTGTCTAAAAGTTCAATAACCTGTGTGATGCTTTTGAAGAAATGCAAAGGATAAAGTAGTATTTTGAAAACTCGAATCATACATAGTTATTCTCAGTTCTGCTGCCTTTGTCACGTTCTCTGCCTTTGAGGTTACATGAATCCTTCAACTTTAGGGTAAAGGAGCTAGTAAGCTGACTACTTGATTTGGAAAGCAGTAGTTGTTTTGAGGATATCTTTAAACTCCCACTGATTACAAGAACATTCCCAAAGTGAAGGCCAAAGGATTTGGCCAAGTGTAATTTATACTGAGTGCAACTCCCCAAAGGCAGAATTTCATTAAACATTTCATTGATGCTGGATGTATTTTTTTAAAGATGTTTGGTTTTGTGACAATGTTCAGTGATGCCCAAACAACTGTCTAAGTGCCAGAAGTAAACACTTACTTTGCTAGATACACAGCACACACACCACCCTGTTTCAGACTTGGCTGTACAGCAGGCAGAGCAGACTGAGGGTTAACCATATCCAGAACTACCTGTAAGAGGAAGACACGTTTTCCCAGTACATATTAATATAATCTATCATTTTTTCCTGTAACAGTGCTTGAAAACAATGTTCGTCTATGGAAATGAATGCAGACAACAGCATTATGTAATCACAAACTAGCTTTATTACTGCCTCTCAAAACCTCAGAGAAACCCGAGGTCCACACAGTTACAAGACAAAGACCTTGCTACTTCCAGATGAATCTGGAAACAGGAAGTAGCATTTCCAGATTCATTCCAGCGCAGTAGTCCCATGTTAACATTAAACTTCCTACTAATTCCATACTGTTGACATTAATAAAAAATGTTTAGAAGATTGCATTTGCCAACACCTTTGGGTATTTAGTTTTCAAATGTAAAAAAAGAATAAATGTTCAAGTGCATCCTTATGATGAAGGGATCGCAATGCAGCCTCAATGTCTAACTTGCTCTTTGTTTCAAGATTCAGAAAGCTTTTGTCTGTGGCAGTTTATCCACCTTCTGCTAGAAAACTATTCAAACTGCAAACAATGGGACAGGCGCTATCTGATCTTCCCTGTTCAAGTTTTAAAAGAATGGTGTGTATGCTCTGTATTTTATTTCTTTGCTCAAAGCATTTAACACAACTGCCATGTGTTTAAAGTGTTGCTGTACGTAGGCTTCCTGCTTTCCATGGCAAAATGGTTAACATCTGGCTGTCTTCCCTAGCAAAATCTGGATCTAGAAAGCAGGACAAAGAGCGAGCAATGGCATTCCTTACTCTAACTTAGGCCTTCGTTACCTTGTGGGTTCTATATAGCTGATAGCAAAGCATTTACTATATTTTCAATAAGCTTATGTATTTTTAAATCTACTGTTTGAAATATACACCTTAGATACAAAAATATCTGTTTCTCAAGAATACAAGAAAGTTTGTCTTTGCCTACAAGGCAGAAGTGATTAATTGTGGTATTTCTCTACCACAGCCACACTGGTGTTGAGTTTGGCAGCCTGTAACTGAAACCTTAAAAATACTTGTAATATGACCAAAATCAAAAAAATTAGAATGTTTCTGTCACTGATGAAGATCTGTTTTTTCTCACATTCAACCAGATACGGGAATCCCACTGTGAGCGTGAGCAGCTCGAGGTCTGAATTTAGGCAGAGAAGATAAACATAAAATGGGAGGAGTTTTTGGACTTACTGCGTCAAGTGTTAGTGATTTCATATCCATAGCTGCTGTTGAAATGTCTTTAAGAATGAAATCCACGTTATCTGGCCACTCTTCTGTATGTCCTATTTTCCATGCAGCACACCAGTGCCTGTAATTCTTCTTAGCTAAACTATGATGATCATCTCTGATTTCATAACTTATAACACGTCCTTTGGGCCCAACTGAAAACAAACAAAGACACTAGGCTTATTGCTTTTCCCTCCCGTAATAAAGAATTATAAAAAAACAGTGTAGTAAATATCGGAAGTACACCTTTCAACTTTAACTTCACTTCAGGGAACAATCACATATGAAACAATCAGTTACAATTTATTTTTTCTTTATATTTAAAACAACCACATGCAAATAAAGTGCTGGATTAGTTCTTTTATAGACTGAAATCCATCAACCCACAGGTGAAAAAAAGCACAGCTATAGTACTACAAACTGTTCCCTAGATGTCCTCCCAAACAACTCCAGATAGATAACTTGAGCATCTACGGCCTTCCCTGTCAATCTACAATTCTCCTGCTGGAGCTACCAGAGATACCAGCTGAGGAAGCTGCAACATTGGTCACTACAGACAGTGAGGCTTCTGTTGTTAGTAAGGTTTTTTGACAACCCTCATTTTCATGCACGTTTGCTGTTTTCCTTGCACAGTTCTTTCTTCTCCTGTTCTTCTTAGGGTTGGGGAAAGGCTGAGAAACCCTCCCAGACCTGCTTACTGATTTCAGCTCCACAGACAAGTTTTCAAGTGTACTCTTTAATTTACACGGGCTTGTGTTATTTTCCTGTTATTTTTCTCAACTGTAATAAAATGATTTATTACTGGCTGTAAGTATAAATTTCCTACTCCAAAATCCATGTCCAGTACACAATGTCCATAAAGGCAGTGTTACTGGGATATCCAGGCACAGAGAACAGGGTGCGTCTTGCTGTATTATTTGATCCTTGTATTACTCTTGAATTCTAAAAACTACCACACTATTAGCTTCTCTTTCTCCTTGCTACTTTGTAATGGGAGAAAGCAGCTGTCAGGTATCAGGAGCTCAGGGAGTGAGACTGGGGCTTTGTTGGACATTTTAGATGGGAGTCACTAGGCTCCCTCCTTCCCTCACCCACACGATCTGACTGTAAATCCATTCACAAATGTGTGACTTGACCCTCTCCCCCCGAAGTCCTTCATCCAGCCCTGGGGCCCCTAACACAAGAGGAACATGGAGCTGATGGAGCGAGTAAACAGAAGGCCACAGAAATGCTCCGAGGGCTGGAGCAGCTCTGCTCTGGAGACAGACAGAGAGAGCTGGGCTTGTTCAGCCTGGAGAAAGCTCCTTAAGGGGTGACCTTAGAGCAGCTTCCAGTGCCTAAAGGGGCTACAAGAAATATACAGAGGTACTTTTTACAAGGGCCTGTAGCGACAGGACAAGGGGGAATGGCTTTAAACTGACAGAGGGGAGAGTGAGATTAGGTATCAGGAATAAATTCTTCCCTGTGAGGATGCTGAGGCACTGGCACAGGGTGCCCAGAGAAGCTGTGGCTGCCCCATCCCTGGCAGTGTTCAAGGCCAGGTTGGATGGGGCTTGGAGCAACCTGGTCTAGTGGAAAGCATCCCTGGCTATGGCAGAGGTTAGACCTGAATAAGCTTTCAGGTCCCCTCCAATCCAAACCAACCTGGGATCTACAACTGTGCTGCTTCCATGTATTATATAAGCAGCTTCTTACCTGCTTTTGACAGAAACAAGGTCAAAGCACCAGACCCACTGCCAGCTTCCAAAACGGCGTCTCCCGGGTGGATATCCATCATCATTAATATAGCACTTATATCCTGCAGGTGAGAAAACACCTGGCACATTACCAGTCTTGGAAACCAAGAGTGAGGTTCAGCCAGTGGCTGCTCCCGGTCACCAGCCATCCCAGTGAGCAGGCAGTACCTTAGGATAG